CCGTTGAGGCGAGCGCAGTTGTATTCAAAACACTTGAAAAATTGATCAGCCACTTCAAACATACAAGTAGCACGAGACATCTAGACTAGCTTTGACGTCACAAGCTCGTGAGACTACGAAACGGCCAAGCATATATTTAAACTATAGATCTAGCACAATTTTGGTTGAAAAACATTGCAGAGTTATTTTTTTGAAAGATTTCTGTAAACTGAAAGCCTTTCATGCTTTACGTTATTATTTATTTATTTATCTATTTCACGGAAGCAACCGACATGGTTCCAATTAGCATATCGTCAAAATTCGTAAGTTTCCGGTGACATAGACTTTATCATTTCCGAAGGGCAAGGTGAAAGCCGGTGTTGTGGCATGGGGGTGTTTTTTTGAATAAGGTAAGGCAAAATCATTTCGTTAAGATTTCGGTAAGAAACAATGTTCCTTTAATTTTTTTTACTATTTTTGATTTATTCCCGCAAAGGACATTGGGTAGTGCAGGAATTCTGGGAATGTTGCACAGAGAAATTTGGCTGACGTATGTACAGATTTCAATCCGAATTTCCTCTGTTCTTTCATGTTAGTAAATTGAGCTCGCTGCGCTCGCTATAAAAAGAGCTATACATTTGTCTTTCATATTTTGAATCAAATTCAGAATTCTATTATACAGGGTGTCCCAGAATATATGATACCATTTCATGAATATATAAAATATAATGTAATGAATATTAAATGACAAGAAATGCACTATAAACATTGCATATACTGTCCAATTTTATTCACAAAATTTTATGGACAATGAAAGGAACACAACAAAATGAGTTCACTTTGAAAAATGCTATTGTTTTTAACAAATGACCAACCATGTTCCATTGAGGTAATGATCATGTTGACATTGCACAAAATTCCATAACTTAAGACAACAATGCATTTTCTTTAGTTATAATCTAGATTTTCATTGGATATATACCTTTTTAGATAAATTAAAGATTAAGATTTAGGTTTAGTAAGAATTTTAAGACTGAATTTAAAATTTCAGTTTTGAAATGAGGGTACCCAGCTTATTTGATAAATCAGTTTTGCTTCAAATGCAATATTTAGCCATTTTTTGATGTAATTATGTGGCTACATTACTTCAACTATGTGAAAAATTTTAACTGATATTATTTTTTGCTAAAATAGTAATTACTCAAATATTTAATGAGACAAATTTCAAAGAAATTGGGAAACCCGCATTTTGACAATAATTTAAAATGGTATCATATTACCCCACCTCTGTTGATTTTTCCATGAAATCCTGGCTTACGATTGGTTGAAGTCTGTCACGTGAAGGAAGTGGATTACTTATACCCGGTCAGTTGTAAATATATATCCGGTCGATTTATTACGTCATTAACACAACGTGACGTCATAATAGGCACAGTATAAAGCGTGCTGAAGGATTTAGCAGAGAAAACCATTTATAAACTACAGATAAAACGTAAATGTTACATCGGTGGGGTAAATTCGTTACATAGTCTTTTAGTGACAGGGTATGGGATGATACCTGGTTAGTAAATTTCATACCTGACTCGGCTCCGCCTAGTCAGGTATGAAATTTACTAACCAGGTATCATCCCATACCCTGTCACTAAAAGACCATGTAACTAATATTATGGGACACCCTGTATTTATAATTCTTATTCGGATTGTTTGTGAAACCAATGTTATTCCATTGTAGAACACACAGCAGATAATTGACCTAAATAATGCCCTTCAAGATAAAGAAAGGAGCTTCAAGGAAGGGATGCCAGGTGACTAATTTTCTTGTAACCTTAATTGAGCTGAGAATCTCAAGAGAGATTTTTGGTCTTTGTGGCCATAAAGATGAGCTCACTCTTGATCCCAGTCTCACTTTTTCGCTAAACTAATCCTTTTGTAAAAATGAGACTTTAACATGCATTCTCTGTAAGCACCAAAAAATCTTGGAAACGACATGTCTCCGATTTTGATGAAATTTGCACCACAGGTGCACCTTGGTACAAAACCAGCAAATATGGTGTTAGAAGTTCCCACGTGCATCCGGTTGCCATGGAGACGGATCCATTGAATTTGGCCATTTTCGGCCATTTTTGACCAAACAAAAGCATGAAAATTGAGGAAATATGAATGCATTTTTATCTTTATGTAGTGAACTCAAATATAAATCTTTGTATCAGAAGAAAACATCAACTGTTAAAAGAATACAGAGCATATAACCAGTTATTCCAGAATTGACCCCACTCTTAGAAAATGGTTCGGCAAAATAGCATAGTTTCTCAAAATGTGAAAAATGGAAAATTTGGCATTTTTTGAGAAATTTAAGGTTAAATAAAAAAGATTGTCTACAGAAATTTTTCAATCATTGTGCGTCTGATAAATTTCAGTATTAGTAGTGTCCCCTCATGAAAAAATTGGAGTGGGATCTCAAGGCTATTTTTAGTAACATGTATCTAGAAATAGACATATTTCAGAAAAATCAAAAAAATGAAATTTGGGCAGAGTTTTAGATGCCATTGCTAGGTAATTATGAAATATACTGTAAAAGTCAATGTGCTAATGTCAGAGACTGGACACCAATAAATACCATGCATATTATTTTCAGGGATTTCCATTTTCTATTTATAGCTTCAAATGCATAAATATAGACATGTCTCATGAAATGATAAAAATGTCAATTTTTGCCTCATTTTGAAGCTCCACTGAATCATAAATGATAAAAATATGGATCTCTCCAATATTTCATCAATAAGAACAAGGAATAGTATAATATCTCACAAATTATTGAGGACAGGCTCTCATCTCTATATATAGTACAAATGTCTAAAAATAGACACATATGAATGTTGATTTTCCACTAATTCTCAAATTAGAGATGGGAAATTTACCAACTTACAGTCACTAACTGTAACTGATATTATGTGACTGACAAGAACAAAAGAACATTCAATGGAATGCAGCATGATAAGCAGAGGTTTCCATTTCTATTTATAGTAACACATGTTTAAAAATAGACGTAATGCAAAATATCAGGAAAATGTCGTTTTTTGTACTTTTTTCTAAAATTTTGGATGAATAATTGCTGACTATCTGTTTTTAATTGCTATTGGCATATGGTGACCAACAAGTAAAAGAAAGCCTTATATCAAACACAGAATGAGAAGCAGAGGTTTCCATTTCTATTTATAGTAACACATGTTTGAAAATAGACGTACTGTAAATATTCAGAAAAATGTAGTTTTTTGTACTTTTTTCTCACATTTTGGATAAAGAATTGCAGACTATATGTTTTTAACTGCTAATTGGCATATGGTGACCAACAAGTAAAAGAAAGCATATACGAAATACAGAATGAGAAGCAGAGGTTTCCATTTCTATTTATAGTAACACATGTTTTAAAAATAGACGTGATGCAAAATATCGGAAAAATGTCATTTTTTGTACTTTTTTCTAAAAATTTGGATGAATAAATGCTGACTATATGTATTTAACTGCTATTGGCATAGAGTGACCAACAAGTAAAAGAAAGCCTTATATCAAATACAGAATGAGAAGCAGAGGTTTCCATTTCTATTTATAGTAACATGAGTTTAAAAATAGACGTACTGTAAACTCTGGAGAAATGTCATTTTTTGTACTTTTTACTAATATTTTGGATGAATAATTGCTGACTCTCTGTTTTTAACTGCTATTGGCATATGGTGACCAACAAGTAAAAGAAAGCCTCATATCAAATACAGAATGAGAAGCAGAGGTTTCCATTTCTATTTATAGTAACATGAGTTTAAAAATAGACATACTGTAAACTATCGGAAAAATGTAGTTTTTTGTACTTTTTCCACATTTTGGATGAGCAATTGCAGACAATATGTTTTTACTGCTATTGGCTATTGCTATTACCAACAAGTAAAAGAAAGCATATACGAAATACAGAATGTGAAGCAGAGGTTTCTATTTTTATTTATAGTAACACATGTTTGAAAATAGACATGCTGCAAATTCTCGAGAAAATTTAGACTTTCGCACTTTTTTTTCTAACATCAGGGATGGTGGAAACAGAGACAAACGGCTTTTATTAGTTATTGACAGAATGTGACTAACGAGTATGAAAAAGCTTTAGCTAAAGTGTATTAGAGTAATGTTTAAGGGTATTTTTTACATTTCTGCCTATAGTAACACATATTTATAAATAATCAGGAAAATAAAGAATCATTCGTTTTTCTCAAATTAGGGATGCAGTCAAACTTTGATTAGCTGTAACTGGCATGGCTAATTGTATTCGGCGCGCCAGCGTGTCCACCTCATTCCAATACATATACCACAAAAGAATGTTCTCCGTGCATTAAAACACTCAAATGATAGCAATTTTCTTTATAAAATAAGCAATATCGTTTATACTCAGCTCGATAGCCCCAGCCCGATTGAAATTCTTTTGTTAGGTGGATCCAGAAAATTTTCCCTAGGAGTCGGTGTCTCAAATCACTATGTCAGTTTAAACTAGAACTGTCCAAACGGGACTAAATACCCTGCTGGGTTTTTCAGAGGTGCTAAATCATGAATATTTAATGGATCTTATTCTAAGAGAAGAGAGAAATGCTAAAACATTTTTAATGCAAATGTAATTGCTCATAATATTTTCATAAATGAAACGAAGGCGCATCAGTGACCTTGACCTTGCATTAATGGCCTTGGATCAAAATCATGACAGAAAATCAGGTAATAAGCAATGTTTGTGTGAAGTAGTAGACTCAGGTTTAGCCATAAAAAAGATATGGACGAGACACAAATAATTTTTTTTTTTCAAGTGACCTTGAACTTCCCCAAATGACCTTGCATCAAGGTCATGACACACTCTTAGGTCATGAGCAGTCTTTGTGTGAAATGAGAACCTACCAAGTTCATCCATAAGACAGATATGGAGCGAACACGAATTATGAAATTTTTCTTCAGTGACCTTGAACTTCCCAAAATGACCTTGGTTCAAGGTCATGACACACCCTTAAGTCATGGACAGTCTTTGTGTGAAATGAGAACCTACCAAGTTTATCCATAAGAAAGATTTGGACTGGACACGAATAATGAAATTTTTCTTCAAGTGACCTTTAACTTCCCTAAATAACCTTGGGTCAAGGTCATGACACACACTTAGGTCATGGACAATCTTTGTGTGGAGTAGTAGATTCTAATGTTCCTCATTAAGGAAGATATATGGACATTTTTGCACAGACAGATGGACAGCTAGACAGACGGACAAGCTGATTCTTATATATCCCCAAACTTCGTTTGGGGGGTATAATGATTCCAGGGATCCAGATCCCCTTTGATAGATGCATGCCTCACCACAATTTGTCCAAAAGTAATCTGAAATTTGCCGAAATTTTTTGAGTTGGCTTACTTTCGATTTCTCTCTCTCTATACATGCATGTATATATTTCTCTAGACTTAAACTAAAGCATTCAAAAAAAAATTGTTGTTTTGGTGTTTATAAATTTATTTTACGTATAAACATACATGTAAGTGTTGGAACGGGGGGGGGGGGGGGGGTTCAAAGATAGACATCACATAGGTAATAAATAATGGGGAGTAAATTTAGCCCCCCCCCTTTTCAGCAGGCATTTTGCACTGTAATCGAATAAGGGTAAGTGGTAGTGTTTAAAAAAATGGTACTGAAAGAAGTTCAATCCCCCTCACATGAAATAGGATTTCATGTTTGGGCCCCCCTCTCACTTTTAATTTCCTTCTGACATGAATGTAACAAAGTATTTTGTTATAACCCTAGAGTTTTATCTCCTTTTCAAAGACTTGATTTTCATGGCAATAATCTCTAGGGTCATTACAAAATTGAACTTCTTTCAACACCATTTTTCTTTCTTTCTTGAGCCACCGCCTTCTAGGGAAAAAAATTTCTGGATCCACCTAACAAAAGAATTTCAATCGGACTTGAGCTGTCGACCTGAATATAAACGATAATGCTTAAATTATAAAGAAAATCGCTGTCATTTGAGTGTTTTAATGCAGGGAGAACATACTTTTGTGATATATGTATTGGAATGAGGTGGACGCGCTGGCGCACCAAATACAATTAGCCATGTCAGTTACAGCTAATGAAAGTTTGACTGCAAATTTCATATCCCTAATCTGAGAAAAACGAATGATTCTTTATTTTCCTGATTATTTATAAATATGTGTTACTATAGGCAGAAATGTAAAAATACCCTTAAACATTACTCTTATACACTTTAGCTAAAGCTTTTTCATACTCGTTAGTCACATTCTGTCAATAACTAATAAAAGCCGTTTGTCCGCACTTTGACCATCCCTGATGTTAGAAAAAAAGTGCGAAAGTCTACATTTCTCGAGAATTTGCAGCATGTCTATTTTCAAACATGTGTTACTTTAAATAGAAATAGAAACCTCTGCTTCACATTCTGTATTTCATATATGCTTTCTTTTACTTGTTGGTCACTGAATGCCAATAGCAGTAAAAACATATTGTCTGCAATTGCTCATCCAAAATGTGAAAAAAAAAGTACAAAAAACTACATTTTTCCGATAGTTTACAGTATGTCTATTTTTAAACTCATGTTACTATAAATAGAAATGGAAACCTCTGCTTCTCATTCTGTATTTGATATGAGGCTTTCTTTTACTTGTTGGTCACCATATGCGAATAGCAGTTAAAATCAGAGAGTCAGCAATTATTCATCCAAAATATTAGTAAAAAGTACAAAAAATGACATTTCTCCGATAGTTTACAGTACGTCTATTTTTAAACACATGTTACTATAAATAGAAATGGAAACCTCTGCTTCTCATTCTGTATTTGATATAATGCTTTCTTAAGCTTTACTTGTTGGTCACTATATGCCAATAGCAGTTAAATACATATATAGTCAGCAATTATTCATCCAAAAATTTAGAAAAAAGTACAAAAAATGACATTTTTCCGATATTTTGCATCACGTCTATTTTTAAAACATGTGTTACTATAAATAGAAATGGAAACCTCTGCTTCTCATTCTGTATTTCGTATATGCTTTCTTTTACTTGTTGGTCACCATATGCCAATTAGCAGTTAAAAACATATAGTCTGCAATTCTTTATCCAAAATGTGAGAAAAAAGTACAAAAAACTACATTTTTCTGATATTTTACAGTACGTCTATTTTCAAACATGTGTTACTATAAATAGAAATGGAAACCTCTGCTTCTCATTCTGTGTTTGATATAAGGCTTTCTTTTACTTGTTCATCACATATGCCAATAGCAATTAAAAACAGATAGTCAGCAATTATTCATCCAAAATTTTTTTTAAAAATTACAAAAAACGACATTATCCCGATATTTTGCATTACGTCTATTTTTAAACATGTGTTACTATAAATAGAAATGGAAACCTCTGTTTATCATGCTATTCCATTGAATGTTCTTTTGTTCTTGTCAGTCACATAATATCAGTTACAGTTAGTGACTGTAAGTTGGTAAATTTCCCCACTCTTGAGAATTAGTGGAAAATCAACATTTAACAGTTAATTTCATATGTGTCTATTTTTAGACATTTGTACTATTTACAGAGATGAGAGCCTGTCCTCAATAATTTGTGAGATATTATACTATTCCTTGTTCTTATTGATGAAATATTGGAGAGATCCATATTTTTATTATTTATGATTGTGGACTTAAAATGGGAAAAATTGACATTTTTCATCATTTTATGAGACATGTCTATATTTAGGCATTTGAAGCTATAAAAAAGAAAACGGAAATCCCTGAAAATAATATGCATGGTAGTTATTGGTGTCCAGTCTCTGACATTAGCACATTGACTTTTACAGTATATTTCATAATTACCTAGCAATGGCATCTAAAACTCTCCCAAATTTCATTTTTTTGATTTTTCTGAAATATGTCTATTTTTAGATACATGTTCTAAAAATAGCCTTGAGATCCCACTCCAATTTTTTTATGGGGGGCACTACTAATACTGAAGTTTGACGACACGCATATGATTTGAAAAATTTCCGTAGACAATTTTTTTTATTTAACCTTAAATTTCTCAAAAAATCCAAATTTTCCATTTTTCACATTTTGAGAAACTTGTATTTTGGGAAACCCTTTTTAAGAGTGGGGTAATTCAATAACTGGTTATATGCCCTGTATTCTTTAACAGTTGATGTTTTCTTATGATACAAAGATTTATATTTAGTTCACTACATAAAATAAAAATGCATTCATATTTCCTCAATTTTCATGCTTTTGTTTAGTCAAAAATGGCCGAAAATGGCCAAATTCAATATGTCTCCATGGCAACCGGGTGCACGTGGGAAACTTCTAACACCATATTTGCTGATTTTGTACCAAGGTGCACCTGTGGTGCAAATTTCATCAAAATCGGAGACATGTCGTTTCCAAGCCCTATAGTAAATTTTTTGGTGCTTACAGAGAATGCATGTTAATTTAAACAATAATTCACAGATGTTAAGGTGAACAGGGTTTGGGGAGCATGCTTAACCTATTTTAGCCTGCTCCCTACATCAAGGTTAAGGTGAATAATGAGACTTGTTTCAAAATTGAGCTCAACTATGTCCTGGAGCCTGGCCACCTATTGTTTATAGTCTCTGTCTGTCTAGCTATATACTGTATGTCCATCTGTAAACATTTCACACTTTCAACTTCTTTCTGAGCACCGCTTAACCAATTTTAACCAAAGTTGAAAAACTGGATTAATGGGGTTGTAAAGTGTTCAAATATAGGACTAAGGTGTAAGACAGAGCCAGAAAAGGTGATCAAATTTTTACATTATTTGGAAAATAAAGGGTGAAAAAATCCTCTTCTCGAGAACCACGGCATCTGCAAAGATGAAACTTGAGCTTCCTGGTATGATTTAAGATTTTAATGGCTCAAAGCATAGCCTACGGGAGTAGTGTGGGAAAAAAGTTTTATGGAATGTACTGTAAACTAACCTTTATTTGCTTGCGAGAAATATCCGCAAGTTCCATGACCTACTCTAACTCTCGAATATTAATCACCACAAACCATTCATTTTCCTTAAGTATTTGTAGGTAACGTTTTCTCAGTCGCAAAAATTAATTGTCGCCAATTCATTTCAAATTGATGAATCACGAATAAAAGATGATGCGGTTAATAGGTGGTTTACAGTATTGAAACAAATCTTTAAATCAAAGTTTTACATAAGGAAAACTTTTTTTCTTATCAGAGTCATGATTGATAGTATTTATATCAAAGCATTCCCAGGTAGTGTAGATTTAAGTTTGTTCAAATCATTTTTCCCCCTTTTCCCCAAAACCACTTTTATATTAAAAGTTTACAATAATGACTGATTTCTGCTTTTTCCTATCCAAAGTGCTTGGGAGCAATGTGACCCATTGGCCTTTTGTTAGGCATTATGAAATTTGTGACAGTTTACCAGTGAAAGGCTATAAAATTCAGTGATCTTGTAATGTAATACATCTTTTTTTTCAGACTAAATGATCTACTTGCAAATGAACTGGCATTGAAGATGGAAATCAAAAATTTAGAAAGTACAATAATGGAATTAGAGGCCACAAATCAGGTACTGAAAATAAATGGAGTTCATGATTTTGTATTATGTAGTAATATAGCTTCTACACAATTGAAATCAATGGGGTTGAGAAAAAAAACTTAGAGATTTCCAGATATTCCAGATATCAAGGTTTAAATACTTATTAAAATAATGAGTTGTTGAAACATTCAAATCACTTAAAAAATATTCATGGATTTGAGATATTTTTAATAGCATTCAGGGTACCTAACTTCAGCTGCATATTGAAACTATATAGAACTGAAATTAGCTTAACTTCATGCTATATAGACATATGTATTTGTATTCCTCATTTTTATGCTTTTGAAAGATGCTTAAGGATGAGCATCAGGCCTTACAGCTGACGTACACAGGTCTAGAGGAGAAATTCCGTAAACTGGAGCTGGACAATCAACAACTGCTGGAAAGGTGGATCAGACAACAGGCCAAAATGGCTGACCAGCTC